AAAAAAAAAGGGGGGGGGGGGGGTTCATACAAATAGTTTTACTGTTTTCAACATTAATAATAATAAACAATGTATCTATTACATAAAAACCCTATTGACTTTTAAATATTTATTTATATATAATATGTATATATATATATAATGTTATATATATACACGTGTGTGTGTGTAAATCAAGGTTATTTTAGTATCAATGGGATACTATTATATTTTTATTAATTATTTTTAGTTTTTATATCTTAATTTTATTTAAAGTTTTAGTAATTTCATTGTGCGTTTTTGTCCTTTTTTTTGTTTTTACTTATATATTTTACATCAAGTTAAACTAAATTAAAATGCCTTGGGAACTAGCTGAAATAAAAAAAAAATGTATTTATTTTTTTTATTTTAAGTAAAAATGTATTGTTTCACGTAATGACTGCTTTTTAATGGTTTACATTTTGTTGTCAGTTTTAGTAAAATATAATAATATAAATTTATAATATATGAATTTTATTTTAAAAATTTTTTTTTATTTTACAGTAAGTACATTATTGTAAATATATTACACACACAAATATATATATATATATATATGTTAATAAATTATTGCAATTTAATTTATTCATTCATCTTCGTTCAAAGGCACGTGCTGGGAGCTGCATTGCAGAAGCGATATTTCAACTATTTCAAATATTTTGCATCCAATTATTTAGATACTATATAATATATTATTAAACTCAGTCTTTCTTGCATTGTTAGTCATGGATTATGGATTTTATACAATGTCATTTTCCTTGTGTTTCTTTTAAAACAAGGTCATGCGCTCTTACCCAGAATGGCCACCACTATATCGTCCTTGAGGATCTCGATGGATCCTCCAGACAGGAAGTAGAGCGCGGTGAGGACGTCCCCGCAGTGCATGAGTGTATCTCCAGGAGGAGCATGGGTGGTTTTGAAGCGCATGGCGAGAGCACGCAGACATCCTTGAGTCGCACCTCTGAAAGCCTTACATCCCTGAAGGAGACTGTGGTTCAGATGGAGACAGATATCTGCCTGTAAACACTCAGGAAAGCCTTTCAAGACCTGCAGAGAGATGCAACACTCGAGGTGAAAAACACTCTTTCAGCTCCACCACTGAAGATTAAAGCAAGTACATTCATGAGTGCAGACACTATCTACAATTACACTCTTTGTTATTCTGTAATGTTATGGGCTCCGTTCCAAAACATAGAGAGATGCCTTACTTTTTACCATGTGAAACCAAAAATATATAGAATAACAATAGAAAACTCTCATAATAATAATTATAAGAAATTGTGCTACCATCAAAAAATTCTGATTGGTACATTTTAAATTTTTTTTTGAAGGAACTCTCTTCTTCTCAAGGCTGCATTTATTTGATCAAAAATATGGTAAAAACTGTAATATTGTGAAATGTTCTTGTAAAAAAAAAAAAAAAAATGTTTTCTTTTGTAACATTTTAAGATGTAATTTTTTTCTGTGATCAAAGCTGTATTTCCAGCATCATTCCTCCAGTCTTCAGTGTCACATGATCTTCAGAAATCATTCTAATATACTGATTAGCTGCTCGAGAAACATTCCTGATTATTATCAATGTTGAAAACAGTTGTGCTGCTTCATATTTTTGTGGAAACCAGGATACATTTTGTTTTTCAGGATTATTTTATTAATAGAAAGTTTAAATGAAAAGCATTTATTTATTTGAATAGACTTTTTCACTCAGCTTTTTTCAAAGCATCATGGCCTTAAAATTTGGCCAAAAGAAGAGGCATCTGCCTTCATGTCAGAAGCGTTTTTATGATGCTTTAAAAGAGACAGTTCACTCTGTTTTGGAACAGAGTCCTGGTGTTGAGAGTGTTTTTCCACGGCTAATGAAATTATTTTGCATTATGATGTTTCTGCCAATGTATTCATGCGGTTAAAGTGGCAAGAAAGAGACTTTAAACTAGGCAGACTAATGTTCCAAGTGCCAATTACTGTGCTCATATTAGCGGCGCAATCATCAATTAAAAGGGATGAAATAATGAGGGTTCAATAATGGCTAACAGAGAAGATTCAGTTTCTTAGTAACAGCTGACTGGCTTTAACAAGGGCAACTTTTAATCTTTGAGTCTCATCTAAATCAGATTGGCTGCCATAGACCCCCATCTAATGTATGCTAATTCATGCAGCATAAAATATATGCTGCGGCTGGGCGATATACTGGATATTTGCAATATATTGACTTGATTGTGTTGGAAACTAGTACTAGGATATAAAAGTGGTCTGGTCGTTATTTGATTTTTTAATTTTTTTTATTATTGTTTCATTTTTAAATACTAATATATGCATCAAACATCATAAACAGGTTGAATTTTAAATTTTTTTAATAAAATAAGTTATATTGCCCAACTCAAAAATATAAATTTTTTGGACTTTTTATTTGGTCATTATTATTATTATTATTATTATTATTATTATTATTGTACAAATTATTTATTCATTTTTATTAACTATAATAACCTTGGTTGTATGAGATAATTTTATTGATAATTATTGTTTTATGTTTTTTTTTTTTTTACAGATGTGGTCACTATGAAATTTCTCTTGCATTCCACAGAAAAATAACAGCATGTGGGTTTACAACAACATTAAAATAAGTCAATAATGGAAAGAAAAAAAGATAGATAGGTAGATATATTTTTTTACTAACAAATAAAATATTTAATCTTTATTATGTGTAAGTTTATTTTGATTTTAAAATGAATTTTAAAATTAATTAAATTTGTATTTTACATTTACTCTTTAATTGGCTTTTCATGAACCCCAGTTTGGGAAACCCTGGCTTAGCAGACTGACAAAAACAATGTGATTTTTTTTGTTTTATGATGTTTTGAACTGATCTTATCCTGTGCCCTGCCTTAAAACATCATTGACCAATCCTATCTTAGTGAATGATCAATTCAGATAACATAAAGATTGGAAAACACATGTGCAATGAAAATACCATGGCTAAAATGGTTGAATAACTAGACTGTGATGCCTGAGACGCACCATGTTCAGGTCGATGCCGTTGGTGTAGGTCCACGAGTGCTGGAAATACTCCTCCAGCCTCTGTCTGAGCGGGTTTGGGATCTGGTGGAAACGGATGAACTCTTTCACGCGGAGCATCTGCATGTGGTACCGCGCCGTTCCCGAATACAGCCGCTGGATGATGGCAGAAACGTTCCCAAAAATGCTGGCGTACATCAAAGCTGGAGAGGACAGGACAGTGGCAAACAGATGAAAGCTAATGCCAGGTACATTTAGTCTGTGGAGGCCAATTTAGATCAAATCAGCAGTGTTTCCTTTGTGTATTAGTATTAATATTATGCATGAGGTGTTATTTAGCAGCTAGAGGGATGATGGGATAGATTGTTGACCTCGGACCTGACTAGCATTTGTATGTCACATTTTTAAAGACCTCATAAATTATTTAATTTAAATGTTTTTATAAAATGTATCAATTTTGAATTGGATTAAAAATCTATCTATCTATCTATCTATCTATCTATCTATCTATCTATCTATCTATCTATCTATCTATCTATCTATCTATCTATCTAATTCAACATTATCTAAGTATTTTTGTGCATTATGCATTTAAAAAAATGCTTCAAAAATATGTAATAAAATACTAAATTTTGAATTCAAAATGTATCTTTCTTTCTTTCTTTTTCTAAATAGCTGTGTGTAATGGATTTTATTTACATTTATCCACAAATAGCAGAAATGTAAATAAAAACGTATAGTGCACAAAATATTTTTTTTGTGCACTATACATTTACCGATTTATTTATTTTGTCATTCAAAATGTATTATTAAATATCTTTGTGTGTTATGCATTTTTATATACATTTATGCATAAATTAAAATAAGTCAATAATGGAAAGAAAAAAAGATAGATAGGTAGATATATTTTTTTACTAACAAATAAAATATTTAATCTTTATTATGTGTAAGTTTATTTTGATTTTAAAATGAATTTTAAAATTAATTAAATTTGTATTTTACATTTACTCTTTAATTGGCTTTTCATGAACCCCAGTTTGGGAAACCCTGGCTTAGCAGACTGACAAAAACAATGTGATTTTTTTTGTTTTATGATGTTTTGAACTGATCTTATCCTGTGCCCTGCCTTAAAACATCATTGACCAATCCTATCTTAGTGAATGATCAATTCAGATAACATAAAGATTGGAAAACACATGTGCAATGAAAATACCATGGCTAAAATGGTTGAATAACTAGACTGTGATGCCTGAGACGCACCATGTTCAGGTCGATGCCGTTGGTGTAGGTCCACGAGTGCTGGAAATACTCCTCCAGCCTCTGTCTGAGCGGGTTTGGGATCTGGTGGAAACGGATGAACTCTTTCACGCGGAGCATCTGCATGTGGTACCGCGCCGTTCCCGAATACAGCCGCTGGATGATGGCAGAAACGTTCCCAAAAATGCTGGCGTACATCAAAGCTGGAGAGGACAGGACAGTGGCAAACAGATGAAAGCTAATGCCAGGTACATTTAGTCTGTGGAGGCCAATTTAGATCAAATCAGCAGTGTTTCCTTTGTGTATTAGTATTAATATTATGCATGAGGTGTTATTTAGCAGCTAGAGGGATGATGGGATAGATTGTTGACCTCGGACCTGACTAGCATTTGTATGTCACATTTTTAAAGACCTCATAAATTATTTAATTTAAATGTTTTTATAAAATGTATCAATTTTGAATTGGATTAAAAATCTATCTATCTATCTATCTATCTATCTATCTATCTATCTATCTATCTATCTATCTATCTATCTATCTATCTATCTATCTATCTATCATCTATCTATCTATCTAATTCAACATTGACTAAGTATTTTTGTGCATTATGCATTTAAAAAAATGCTTCAAAAATATGTAATAAAATACTAAATTTTGAATTCAAAATGTATCTTTCTTTCTTTCTTTTTCTAAATAGCTGTGTGTAATGGATTTAGAATTTAAGCTATTTGCGTAAATACAGAACATGTTTTTCAGACTTACATCCGATGAGCATGACGCAGATGGAGAAGATCTTCTCAGAGTTGGTGTTCGGAGACACGTTTCCAAAGCCCACGCTGGTCAGTGAGCTGAACGTGAAGTACAGCGCGGTCACGTATTTATCCTTTATGGATGGCCCAGAGCAGTGCTCAGTAGAGTTGCATCTCTTCCCGAGGGACACCTCGAGATTGTCGAGCCAGCCGATCTTATGCTCCAGGTACGGTTTCTCCACGTTTCCAATGGCGTACCAGATGCAGGCCAGCCAATGGGCGATCAGAGCAAATATACACATGAGGAGCATGAGAACCGCTGCGCCGTATTCAGAGTAACGGTCCAGCTTCCTGGCAACACGAACCAGTCGGAGGAGCCGCGCCGTCTTCAACAGCCCAATCAGAGTGGTTGTCTTGGGAAAGAGAGAAGGTGCGCATTAGTTACATCGCAAACAGTTAGGGTTTTACCAAGAAAGACTGGCTAATACTAATTTGACTCATTTAGGCTCATTTTGTTGCTTTCTCATAGACTCCAAAACCTAGTGAACTGCAAGTTAAAGGGTTAGTTCACCCAAAAATGAAAATTCTGTCATTAATTACCCTCATGTCGTTTCAAACCCGTAAGACCTTCGTTCATCTTCGGAACACAAATTAAGATATTTTTGATGGAATCTGAGAGCTGTCTGACCCTCCCATAGACAGCAAAGCAACTGAAATGTTCCCAAGTCCAGAGACGTAGCAAGGAGATCGGTAAAATAATCCATGTGACATCAGTGGTTCATCCACAATTATACGAAGCTACGAGAATACTCTTTGTGCACAAAAGAAAAAAACCCTGACTTTATTCAACAATTCGTCTCGCTGTTTACGTCCAGCTGATATTCTCCAAAATAATTCCAAAATAATTGTTATTAGATTTTTTCTCTCAGCTCAAAGCAAAGCAAAGCATAATGGGATTGTTTTTTTCCCCCCAAGAAGGATAAATGCCTTAGAATTTCATCAAAAGACATATTTCTATTGCAAATGAAAAATAAATGAAAATAATAAATATTCATACAATAAAGAAAAATATTGATTAAAAGAGTTTAACTCAAAATTCACTATTTATGAAATATCTTTGTGAACTATGCATTTTCATTTACAATTAGATTTATACAGTAGCCAGAAATGCAAATGTAATAAAAAATGCATGGTACACAAAAAATATTTAATAAATTAGTCGGTTTGAATCAAATTTAAAATTGATTTTTGGTTGATTTTTTTTTCTCTTAGCCCATTGCAATGCATTATGGGATTTTGTTTTTCCAGGAAGGATACATGTGGTGCTGCCTTAATAGTTAAAAGATCTCTATTGCAAACAAAAAATATTTATTAAAACATTTTAATCTAATTCAGAATTGATTAATTAATATTTTGTGTACTGTTCATTTTATGCTTATTAGCGTATTAGGTCATTAAATTAGAAACATGCTAATTTAAAACTCTACTGAAATCAATTATGAGTCAAGTATCCCATGCACTTTCTGTCATTTATAAATGACAGTTTATAAATGAAGAGTGTTCAGTCACTTATGAGGGTCCAGTTCAGTCTGCTGGCTATGTAGTCAGCTCACTTGGGTTTGGAACACAGCCATGGTCTTTTATAGCTTTAATTATCCACAGTTAACTGTATCAGAAGAGCCGGAAACACACTGTATCCTAATATACCCAAAGCTCATATCTGTAATGTCTGTACACGACTGCCTCACTAATTAATATTTTGATAACCGTGTTTAATTTTAGCCCGTTACACACTGCTTGTGCCTGCTAACACCAGAGATCCATCTCATCAAAAATTTCACACCGCGAGGATAAAATAAACACCCGACGAGAGACGCGGCTAATGAGTTTTATCTCTGTGTCTCGTCCAGCTCTCGCGTTACCAAACTGAGAAGCAAAGAGATAAATCCTCATTTGCAGGTGAAGTCAGTTCACTAGATGAAGACAAGGTCCCTGTGAGCCGACAGCATGCACAGTCTCATCCGAAACGGCTCCTTCAACATCTTCACTCGTCCCCTGGTGGGAGATCATTTGTTTAGCTGACAATTATTCAGTGGCCTCACAAAGCGAGGTCAGGACCCAAGCCGGGTATTTTTAGAATATGTCTTAATAGATGCGTCTGGCAGCAATGCTTAGCATGCATACTAGCGCTGACAGTGTATTAGTGAGCTAGTATGTGGAGCGAAGCACGTGGGTTTTTTTGTACTCTCACGTTGAGAAGTGCGGACACGGGCCCTGCTGCATCTGTCATGAGTGGCCCATTAAAAACTCATTAGCAGATACCATTCGCAACGAATCACGCTTTTGAGTTATAGCTGGACATAGTGATAGGATGGACGCTCAATTATACTGATGGTTCATCAAGCTTGACCTCACATGACTGGCCTATACTTTAAATTCCAGTGTTTAACTGGAGTAAAGTTTGAACGCAAAATTTGATGCCGGTTGACAACGCTTCAGAAGGTTTTACTCAGTGAATGTCAATAAAATGTTACTAACATGATTAGCACAATGCTAGCATGTATCTATGATAACATGCTTATCACGATTTAGCACATTTCTAGCATGTTGCTAACATAGCACATTGCTAACATGTTTCTAATTAGTATTATTATGTTGCTAAGATGTTTTAGCACATAGTTATCCTGATTTAACATGTTTCTATCAGGATTTAGCATTGTTAGCATGCTTCTATTATCTTGGTGCTAAGATGTTTTAACACTGTTAACATGATTTAGCATTCTGTTACCATGTTTCTAGCATGTGTCTATCATGGTTTATTACATTGCTAACATGTTTCTAACATCTATTAAGTTGCTGACACGATTTAGCACATTGCTAGCACATTGCTAGAATGTTAAGTATGTTGCTACCGTGTTTTTATCATGATCTATCACATTGTTAACATGTTTTCTAACATGCATTAAGTTGCTAACATGTTTTAGCACATTTATAACATGTTTCTAACATGTTTTAGCGTTTTGCTAACGTTTCTAATATAATGTATTAACATATCGCTAACATGATTCAGCACATTGCGAGCATGTTACTAAAATGATTTAGCATTTTGCTAACATGTTTAATATGTTGCTAGCATGTTTCTATAACACATTGTTAGCATGTTTCTAACATGTATTATCATATTGCTATCATGTTTTTAACACATTTAGAATGTTATTTAATAACATGGTGCCAGCATTTTTCTATCGTGATTTAGCATTCTGCTAACATGTTTCTAACATAAGCACATTGCTAGAATGTTTTATCATGCTGTTAACATGTTTCTAGCAGGTTTTAACAGATTTCAGGCATGTTTTAGCATCTTGCTAACATGTTATGTCAGGCCAACATAATTATCCATCAAAAACACATGTCCTGCGGACGGTTTATACTGTTTGACATTAAAAGTGTGAAACTATATAAGTGTTTATATGTACAGATGTGTCATAAAAGCCTGTCAAATATGATTCAAGGGCCTCATTCAAACTGTGGTCATCGCTAGTGTGGTCGAGCCCTTCATCTGAATGCTGTAAATGAGATGCATCCTGTAGCCACCTGCCATCTGTCTGGCCCAGTGGCACTGCATTTGTGTAATGCAGAATGTCAGATTCTTAATGTAGACAAAAGTATTTTAGTGCCAGAATGAAAGGATGAATTATTAGATGCTGAGTGATGGTTTCTTGTCAGTGCACTATTCATGGTGGGGAAATAGCCAAAACGATATATATATTTGAGCCTTTTTATGATACTTGATATATATGCAAAAAGTTTGGGGTCAATAAGATGCTTTTTTTTATTTTTTAAGATGTTACATTTATTCAGCAAGAATGCATTAAATTGTTTTCAACATTGATAATAATAAATGTTTCTTGAGCAGCAAAATCAGCATATTACTGTTGAATGATTTCTGAAGGATCATGTGAGACTGGAGTAATGATGCTGATTACAGGAATACATTTCATTTTACAATATATTAACAAAAAAAAAAGAAAAGTTATTTTAAATTGGTGAGCATAAGAGACTTCCTTCAAAATATTTTTTACTGACCCCAAACTTGTGTTCCGATTATTGAATGTAAGAAATAAAATACATAAGAAGAGTTGGTAAGTTTGGTTGCATTGTGTGATTCAGTTCTAATTCATTTTAATCAGTGATGTTTTTGCATTACAATTTTAAAATGTTCATAGAGACCTTGAGGAATTTATATATTAAAAATTTCAGGAAAAAAATATGTAAGTAAATATGGATGTTTATGAATATGTTTTGTTATACTAGTAAATGTATTAATATTATTACAGGTAAAGTGTTCAAAAATATTTAATTTATTTTGCATAGGCAGCATACACAAAATATGTAATAAAATAGTCAATTAAAAAAATATTAAACTATTTTAATCAATTATTTTTCATTATTAAATGAAATATATATAGTGGAGATCAAAATTAGACAACAACCTACAATTTCCTAAATGGTCACTGCTTAGTCCTATTTGAAGTGATCCTAACAGGAGTAGAAGGGCAGTTTTTTTAAAACATATTTCATAAATTAATTGTATTCTGAAGCACAGTATAAAAAAACTTAAATGAGATATTTGAAAAAGAACTGATCAAAGTTAGAGATCACTTACACATACCTCCAAGTAACTGGTGTTAATCTGCTAATTTCCTTAATTATAAGACAAACCCTATTTAACATGCAGCATTCCTCTAATTTTCTCTGAGATTGCAAGACGGCGGGCCGCTCTGGGGTAACTGAAACCCTGCAACAGGAGGCGGTCCAGATGAAGGCCAAAGGAATGACACTTTCAGCCATTGCAAGAGAAGCTGGTCATTCCAAAACTGTGATTTCTAGAATATTGCAGGTTTACAATGACATTAAGTCCCCCAAACTGGGGATAGACTGAACCCAAAGTGCATAAAGAAGTCAATGAAAGGTGGAGGAGGAAGTGTCATGGTTTGGGGGATGTTTGGTTCTCTTATACAGATACATGGCAGAGTGAATGCAAACTTTTATCAGAACCTCCTTCAGCAACATACAGTTCATTCCCTGCAAGCATCTCCCAATCAGCCTGCAATTTTCATGCAAGACAATGTCCTCGTCACACTGCAAAACATGTAAAGCAGTTCCTTGAAGCCAAGAACTCTGAAATAATGAAATGACCGGCCCAGAGTCTTGATCTAAACCAGATTGAAAATCTCTGGAAAATCCTTGGGACAAAGTTATGGCTAAGAAACCCACTACAGTCATCAAACTATGGAAGAGAGTGTAAAAAGAGTGGACCAAGATCACTGCAGCTCAGTGTGAGAAACTAGTGATGACCAGTGGCCCCAGATGTGCTGAAATCAATCAAAGCAGGGGCCTCTACACTTCCTACTCATTTCTGACAGCTGTAACCCTCCAAAATTGTAGTTGTAATCTTCTTTCACGCCACAGTGGTTACTGTTCTCTAATTTTGATCATTGTGTTTTCCACAAAATAAAGGTTTTTGTTGAAATTCATTGGTTATTTTGTCAAACATTTTGAACGAAGATTAACACTGTTTCAGAAAAAATCAAGTATCTATAGATTGTTCTCTAATTTTGATCTCCACTGTGTGTGTATATATATATACTGTATATATACAGTATATATATATATATATATAAATAAAACCATTTTATCTTTATTAAACATTTTAAATCTACTTGACTACACTGAATGTTTGGTTGTTAAAAATGAGAAATGATGATTCCTCTGACTGCAAAGAAATCACACTTTTCATACATTTCGGAGCACATATACATAAATATCAAGATTTTTTTTTGCTCTTTCTCACAGCTCCAGTTGCGACCAGAGACAGATGTGTGAACGCCTGCAGTAAAAACAAGTGCAGATGCAGAGAGCGTGAGGTTTGTTAACTGGGTGATGGCTGGAGCTCTACAACCTTTTTCAGACAAATGTGTGAATGTGAAACCTTTGGGAAAATATAACCTGAACAAAAGCAATATACTTATTTAAAACCAAGCAGCAAAACCCCTCCATAGTCTAAAACTATACACTGCATGCCATCAAATAATGACATGCTGACATTTCCAGTAGGTCTTAATCTATAATTCTTTAATATTTTAAAAGCCATTGTGTGTGTTTCTTGTCCTTAGGTTGTAAATGGCTCTGACAGAGTAGCTGTCACTGGAACAGACCACAAAGCGGTGAAACCATATGCACCAATGTGCCAAGAGCTCATGATAGGCCATTGACGGACATGCCCACATAAACAAGCGAGGAAAGGAGCCAACTGGCGTGCCAGTGATTCAGCCTGTAAGCTGTTCAAACATCAGTTTTCTCTTTCCTCCCTCTCTCTCTCTCATCATAATCATTGACTCCCATTTGGTAAGCCGCTAATCCAAATAAATGGATTCAGAAATTAAGGCCATTCAAAAAAAGAGGGAACAACAACATACAGTATATTCTGATACTGTAATCCCTGATTCACTTTCTGTCCTCTGCAAAGTGCTAGATCTGATCTGTGTAATGGACACGGTACAAACAAATAATAAATTGCTAAACAAATAGGTCTCAAACTATCAGCATGTAAGATTGTTTTATGCAGACCCACATGTGTTAAAGGAATATTTCACTCAAAATGAAAAGTTGCTGAAAATATATTCACTCTCAGGCCATCCAACATGTAGATGAGTTTGTTTCTTCATCAGATTTGGAGAAATGTAGCTTTACATCACTTGCTCACCAATGGATGCTCTGCAGTGAATGGGTGCCGTCAGAATGAGAGTCCAAACAGCTGATAAAAACATCACAATAATCCACAAGTAATCCACACCACTCCAGTCCATCAGTTAACATCTGGTGAAGCCAAAAGCTGGGTGTTTATAAGAAACATTGAGACACTGTAACTTTAAACCATTACTTCTGACTAAAATACGAGTCCTCTATCCATGATATTGCCAGTGAAAACATTGTTTTGTCTGAATCAGGAGAGAAATCTGCTGCACAGATCAAGCATGGTTTACAAGTGAAAATAGTCCAAACCTAGTGAACATGCATAATGATTAAATTCCAGATATAGTAAATGCATTGTGAGTTGCTTTGGATAAAAGCATCTGCCAAATGCATGTACTGCCATTCAAGAGTTTGGAAAGATATTTTTTTAAAGAAATTAATACTTTTGTTTATCAAGGATGAATTAAATTAATCACACGTAATAGTAAAGACATGTATAAAAGATTTGTATTTCAAATAAATGTTGTTCTTTTGAACATTCAAAGATTATTGAAATACATTTATCAAAAATATGAAGCAGCACAACTGTTTTCAACACTGATAATAATCAGAAATGTTTCTTGAGCAGCAAATCAGCATATTAGAATGATTTCTGAAGGATCATGTGACACTGAAGACTGGAGTAATGATGCTGAAAATTCACAGGAATAATTACATTAAAATATATATATTTGAATAGAAAACAGCTATTTTAAATTGCAATGATATTCCATAATATTACAGTTTGTACTGTGTTCTTAATCAAATAAATGCAGCCTTGATGAGCAAGAGAGACTTTTTTCAAAAACATTAAAAAATCTTACCAACCCCAAACTTTTGAATATAGGCCTAATGCACAAATGCAAGCATAATTGCAGCCTCATTGACAACAACATGCAGGCCTGTTTGCTCATATCCATTGCAAAATTTGGATGCATGTGTGCAATAACCCCACAATTGTGCCAATATGAAGGAGAACACCACCTGGCGAGTGGCCATTTGAGTTTGAGGTCCCTAGATTAGACCGGCAGCCAAGTGCAGAAGGAAGTAGATTAAGATCTGGTGTGACTTACATCATCTGATCCTGATCCAAATATGAGCAGGTCGAAGGGAATGGCAGCCACCATGTCTATAAGGAACCAGCCCTTGAAGTAATGGATGGCGATCTTCCCCGGATGGCTCACCACCTCCTCGTTCACGTTCACGTAGGTGGTGCGAAAGTTAATGAGGATGTCGATGATGAACATGATGTCCACCATTAAGTCCACGAGGTTCAGAGGGCTGCAGGAATAGCCACATTCCCGTCTTTTATGCTCCTCGCTGTCGTTGAGCAGGAAGGCAGCAGAGTAAGGGGTGAGAATGGCTGTGTAAATCACCAGCAGCAGGATGAGCCAGTCCCACACCGCTTTGAACGGGCTGTAGTGCAGGATGGTGAACTTATCCATGCGTGGCGTCTGGAGCTTGTATTCTGGAAGCACATCGGCGCCCAGCGACAAGACCTGGAACGGGAGAGGCATGGAAAAAACGTGAGTATTGCATGGTGCATGATCACAGGTCTGTCCTGATAGAGACCGTCTGGAAAAACAAACACGTGCCAAACTAGCGGAGAATCAATTGTGCAAATAATTGAGCATCTAATGTAGATGACGTGAAGTTTATTTAGAACAATAACTTTATTTTTATTAGTAAACACAACATTATTTGTATTATTATAAACTCCATTCCATCTGCATTAGATGATAAACTATTTGCACATGTGCACAATTATTATTATTATTATTTGCATACTAATAATAACAGAAAGAAGTTGAATAATGTATAATTTTAAACAGTTTATTGTTTATTTTACAGTTTAACAGATAAAGAAGTTATGTATAGTATATGTATAATAATATATAGTTTGAAACAGTTTATTGTTTTTACAGTTTTAACAGATGATTGTTGAGTAATGTGTCATTTTCAGTATGTATTTAATTTGATTTATTTTTACAGTTATAATAATAATACTACTAACAGAAATAATTTATCATTTGCAACTGTATCATTTTTGCAGATTTGGCAAAAATGCTGAGTAATATATACATTTTCAGTTTATTTATTATTACAATTTAACAGATAAAGTCGTTGAGTAATGTTTAATTTACACCGTTTATTATTTATTTATTTAATTTGAGTTTTAACAGCGTAATTTATAATTGTTCAGTGTTTTTTTATTACAGTTTTAACCGATTATGTTAAATAATGTATATTTTTTCAGTGTTTATTTCTTTCTTTTTACAGTTATAATAATAATAACAGAAAGAGGTTGAGTAATGTATAATTTGCCACTGTTTATCATTTGTTTGTTTATTTTTACAGTTTAACAGATAAAGAAGATGAGCAATGTTTAATTTTCACTGTGTATTATTCATTCATTCATTCATTCATTCATTCAAACTTTTCTCATGTAAAAATACTACAATTTCAAGTACTGTATAAATATAAAAGTGCTGTAATTCTTCAGTTTGGTTTTTAGTAAGCAGGGTATTGTTGGTGATAAAATACAAATCTGAAACAGTGATACTGTTTGATGGTGAGAAAAAATAAATAAAAATAATGCTGAATTGTGCATTTTCAAACTGAGATCCAAACATAGCTGGATTATTAAGGATCTCTTCTAATAATAGTTAATATTGCATTAGTTGACAGCTGTCAGTCACATATCCACAGGCCCATCACCTTAATGCAGTATGTGACAGTTTCACCGTGCCACACATATTTCCCCAAAGTTGTCATTTATTTCTTTCCGGCTGATGCAATATTTCATGGAACGCACCAGCACAACTGAGTTCTTCACATTTCAGAAGCGTAGCGTGTCAGGGAGCTTCAGAGCATGACATAAATATTCATTTATTTCTCTATAGTTGCACAGTACCAGCCATATCTGCTGTCAGAAATGCTCACATTACATATAGCTTTTTGGATTATAAAGTCTAGTTGTCATGCATCTCAGGTTGTTTCTGAAGTTATCAGAGTGCTCTGCTCAAGGACAAAACGCTGCACAAGACATCACAAAATCTTGTTTTTCACATACTGAAATATGAAATATGCTATTCATGTAACTGGATGTCCTTTGCCTTTATGCAATTCATGGAACGGAGAGTTCAGAATCTACATTCTGATTCTCAAAGCAATGAAATGTACTTTTATATTACTATTTTAACAATAATGAAAGTTGAAATAGTAATGGTTAAAAAAACTTAAATTATAAACAGACAATATTCTGGAATGCTGTAATGGATGAAAGTGGGAGTTAAATTAATAAATTGAAAATCTAAAAATATTATCAAAATTATGATGATATTATTAATTGTAATTCAATACTGTACCAGAATTTTTTTTTTTTTTTTACAAAAGTAACAAACAATTATTTACAATCAAACACAAAGTTATATTAATTGGTTTATTCTTGATTTCTAACCATGTTTATCCTCTTCAATCCTGTATTTAATGTATGTTTGTGTCGTATTTTCTTTTATCTTATGTAGTTTTGTTAATCTTTTTGAAGATAATATGTTGTTAGTTGCAATTGATTACATAGCTTACATACGAATGATTACAAAAGATAACATAAGATTGAAGATTTTTCAAATCACACACACACACACACACACACACACACACATGTATATATATATATATATATATATATATGTAACAACTTTAATGAACTTATCGGAATAACAAAAGTAGTGAAATGTCAAAAGTTTGAATCATTTGATGTGAATCATTTAACTTACAATTTACAGATGCAAAGGAGTGGGAAACATATGCTCCATTAAATGTCAAGGAACTTAACAAAATAAGCAAAGTAAGCTCTTTATTTAAAACAAAATCTGTCATTTTCTCTCATTTGGATGTGGTATAACAGATGTAGCAGAAAACATCTGGCTCCAGTTTGCATTTCCTTCTGTCACTTCTGTCAATAATTCTAACCTTGAAATCAGAATCATCGTCTTCAGAATCATTCTTACATGTGAAAATCAAGGATCATGTTATTGTGGCAGTTTTTCTGCTGATTAAGGGAGAATACACTTCTTCACCTTTCAAATGGCTGTCGAAAGCAAAAATGCTACGAAATGCATCATATTTTGTGAGAAAGTGACTTGCTTGTGTAAAACAGAAACTATTTTTGGAATCAGCTCCTCAAAATTGCTAAGAAACAAGTAATGGATTTCATTCAGCAAATATCGTTTTTCCAGCTGTCTGCAACTCTCAAAGCATGAATACAAAGATCTCCACGATAAGCAAAAACACGTGGCTTTCCTTTGCACTACAAAGGACTCAACCAGGGTTTCATTTCACTATTTTGCAAAGCCATTGAACAGCAGAAGTAAATGCATTAGGATGATAATAGTCTGTAATCCAGCAGTGTGTCTGTGTAATCGAGCTCTGAATGAACACACACACACAGACACACACACACACACCTTACTGCAGGATTTAACCACCTTTGACAGTCAGCAAATGAGGCGTCTTTTCCTGATAAATACTTAATTAGAAATTATGACGCAGTAATCAGATGCCCTAGTCGATTTTTCTCCCTCTTTCTCTTCTAAGAAAGTGATAAATTATGTATCTTTTTCTCTCGCAGGCTCTCACACGTCCAGGCAGGTCTGGGAAGGTAATGTGAGAATCGCTCAGACGTAACAAGCCATATGACCGCAGTGAACGAGTCGACGACTCCAAAGTGAGGACTCATGTCGTTCGGATGGGCTGTCATCGACTTCTGTCACGGCTGGTCAAAAGACGGACCCGTTACACGGTTTGACTCAGAACTGTGTGTTACTTTGACTTTCATTGAAGGACATTTACAGAAGTCTTTAACCTTTAAGCACTGCCCACGTAGGCGACTACCCTCCATCACAGCATCCTAACTGAAATGGCACCTAATAAGTGACTGATTTAAAGGCAGCTGGCCAAATAGCACAGCATGCAAATGTATCATTTGATTTTGACATTAGCATGCTGTTAAGCTCGAAGCATAAATTGCACATACAGATATTGGGTAAAATAGCCAATTTTAATTAGGCTGAACTAGGTTTATTGATAAATCTCAGTACTGAATGAATTATACATAGTTTTTATTTTTTTTGAGTCTCTTTTGCTTACTAAGACTGTATTTATTTAAGAAAATACAGTAAAAATACAACAAAAAACTGTAATATTGTGAAATATTATTACAATTTAAAATAGCTGTTTTCTATTTGAATATATGTTAGTATGTCATTTATTTCTGTGATCAAAGCTGAATTTTCAGCATCATTACTCCAGTCTTCAGTGTCACGTGATCCTTCAGAAATCATTCTAATATGCTGATTTGCTGCTCAAGAAACATGAATATCATTATCAGTGTTGAAAACAGTTGTCCTGCTTCATATTTTTTGTGGACACTGCAAGACATTTTATTTTTCAGGAATCTTTGGTGAATAGAAAGTTCAAAAGAACAGCACTGACGTGCTCGGTTATGAACGTTTCACATTGATTTAACAGAGTAAAATCGGTCGTTTTTCCTTCATGTTTCTCAGTAAGACCCTCAGGTGAGGATGTGCTTCTGCTCTATTTCTCCTCCGTGGAGTTTGAGTTAATCAATGTGTCGCCAGCGGAATATGTTTGAAATACTGCACGCGTCAAGTGCTTCATGATTCGATTGGAAATCCAATAGTCTTGTGGACGAGCACAAACAAGCTGTAACAAATTCTCCAGCATAATTCCACTTTATAGCCAAGATTAAATGATGCTAACAGACATGTGTATGCAAATAAATGCTAATGAGGATACTACTTAACCTCAGGGATATTAAGATGAGAGCAAGAATACAGGGCAACCAGCAGTAATTATTCAGAGTCCGTGTGTCACGTCCTCGCTCCGATCTCCTTTCTTACCTCAACCATATTTAGCATCTTTTTCTGACACCAAAATGCATCAAAAGAGCATCCGAGCATGAAAATGGATTTTCTACCACCTCTGGGAAATGGATCTCCAAATATTGCCAAAACACAATTCAGTAGCACTGTGGCAGTTTCTGTGTGAGACACTCGAGTGTAAATTGAACTTTCCCCTTTAATCTATGAAGCTAGATGTGTGTTTGCACACTAGCTCTGTTCCAAAAACTAGCAAGCCACCTAACTAGACAGCATTTTAAGGCATTATAGGCATGTTATTGCGTAATGTTACTAAAGGTAAGACTACAGGCAGCATTGCATGTGATTTTAATGGATAAATCAAAAAAAAAATGCATGGAACATGGTAGACGAAGCAATAGAAATGTTAGTAATGTTAATAATGTTAATGTTAATAAATAAACTACCCTTGCGTTTTCATTTTTATTTTAGTTAAAGTTTTAGTAATTTTTTTTTAAGTTTAAATATAAATACAAATTGTTAAATGTTAATGTTTGTTTTATTTAATGTTCATTCAATGTTATGGTTTTTACTGTATTTTTATGCAACCTTAGTGAGTATTTTTGTCTTTGGAATAATGTGCACTGAGGAATTGTTAATAAATAAACTACCCTCCAAAAAGTTTGGGGTAAGTAAGATTTTTATTTTTTATAATTTCATCGCTTTATTTAGCCAGGATGCATTAAATTGATAAAAAAATAATTTAATAGTTTTATTCAGCAAGGATGTATTAAATTGATCAAAAGTGACAGTAAAGACATTTATAACGTGTCAAAAGATTTCTATTTCAAATAAAGGCTGTTCTTTTGAACTTTCTATTCACAGTTTCCACACAAATATTAAGCATAATATATTATTTTATTTTAAGATTTTGCGTTTTCATTTTTATTTTAGTTAAAGTTTTAGTAATTTTTTTTTTAAGTTTAAATATAAATACAAATTGTTAAATGTTAATGTTTGTTTTATTTCATTTTCATTCAATGTTATGGTTTTTACTGTATTTTTATGCAACCTTAGTGAGTATTTTTGTCTTTGGAATAATGTGCACTGAGGAATCGGTCACAATAAGACCAGAAGCGTGTATAAAGAAACTAAATATGGTTTTTATTTAAAGAGGTGGTTGATCAACTTTTTTCAAAAGCTTGATTGTGTTTATGGTGTGCAGTGTAACGTGTTCATGCTTTATTTAAAAAAACAAAATAACAAAACATTATTTTCACATATTTTACCTTTATTCTACACTGCTATTTCCATTCTCGTCAAAACGGTCTGTTGAGATCCTGGTTCTATGAAGCCCCTCCCTCAGAAATACGCATTGGGCTCTGATTGGTTAGCGGGCTCAGTATGTTTGTGATTCGCTATCCGGCTAGTGCACGTTGTCCGGAAACGCCACGCCCCCTTACCATTACGGGTAGTTGCGTGTTCCCGGGGGCGGGGTTTATGTAGACATCGGGGTTAGTGATGTCACAAACCCAGGAAGAAGCTTGTTGTAGTCCCTACCAGCCATTTTCTGTAGTCCTTAAACAGCGATTTCTTTAAAGGGGTCATATGATGCGATTTCCATTTTTCCTTTCTCTTTGGAGTGTTACAAGCTCTTGGTGCATAATGAAGATCTGTAAAGTTGCAAAGACTAAAGTCTCAAATCCAAAGAGATATTCTTTATAAAATTTAAGAGTCAACCATGCCTAACAAAAACGGCTCATTCTAACACGCCCCCACATATCTACATCACTATGTGGGAAGATTTGCATAACACCGCCCAAATGTTCACGCAAAGAAAGAAGGCGTAACTTTTATTCTCACTGTAGTATTGTTGCTGCCGCCATGTCGTGAAGGCGCTGTATGTTTCGTTGTGAAAGCGAAACTACTTTGTTTGGCCTTCCAAAAGAGGACGATATCCGCTTCGTCATGCCTGGAGCTGATCTGTGCTGGTCGCTGAGGAAATACATCAACTTCGTGCTGTGGATCACCAGATCGGCTTTCACCGCAATGTACAATTTTGAAAATGTAAAATTAGTATTTTCTTGTAAAACATACTCCAATAATCTTTGTTTTACTTACAACTTTGAACAATTATGTTTTTACAGTGTAATTTTATAAAAAAATAAGTTTTGTTTAAGCATTATTTAATAATTATTTTTCTGAAATCATCTCACAGGTCGAACTGGACTGAATTGTGTTTTTTATACCTCTGTTCCGGATCAAACTGACATTACTGGTGCTGTAAGTAGACAATAATATGAAATGATCGGGAAGCTGCTGTGCATTTTTAAGCATGCAGCAAGCAGCCAGAGACAGTTATTATGCATTCCCACAGAATACAGCGTTACCTTTCGAACCGCGTCCATGGTCTGAAATGGAGGAGTATAGAGATTAGAAAAAGAACATCAGGAAATGTGCCCAAGTTCTTTGAAGAAAATATTTAATTGAGAAAATTCTTGTGAAAAATGAAAGCACACATGCTGCTTTTAAAGCTGATGAGTGCCAGCAATGGATAATTTCATATTTTGTCCATTAAAATTACTCTAAATTGAAAATTTCTTGCTGTTAGATGTGATTATCATTCATCAATGAAAGCAATTAAATCACTACCCTGGAAAATTATACATTCCTCTCTACATTAATCGTGCAAACAATGCAGAAACTAATATGCATTATGACGGTTGAGTTAATCAGTTGCACAGATTAAATACACTGTAATTCAAACAATTGTTTTTTTTTTCGGTGTAAGACAAGGTTTATATCGGGGTAAAGGAATTGGTTTCAAAGATTCTGTTATTCAATATTTCAGAACCAGTAAAAAAATTTGATTTAATTATATAATATTATAATATAATTATATAAAATTTGATTTAATTGTGTATATATATATATATATATGTATATACACGTGTGTGTGTGTGTGTGTGTGTGTGTGTGTGTGTGTACATACAGTGGAGATCAAAATTAGAGAACAATCTACAATTGCAGTTTTTAAGCATATTTCATAAATTAATTGTATTCTGAAGTTTGATTTAATTGTGTATATATATATATATGTATATACACATACACATACACACACACATACAATTAATAGAAAAATTATTTAAAATATACTATTGTTCTTTTAAAGAACAAAAAGAGAGAAAAAAAATCTTTTTCATTATTATTTTTAATAAATACATTTTTTTACATAAATTAATTTTTTATCATTTACATTTTTTTTTTTTTTCTGATGTTTTTTTTATTTATCCGTCCATGAGTTTCTTGGTCCATGTCAAACCAATGTCCTTGTTTTGATCTCCACTGTGTGTGTGTGTACATACAGTGGAGATCAAAATTAGAGAACAATCTACAATTGCAGTTTTTAAGCATATTTCATAAATTAATTGTATTCTGAAGCACAGTATAAAAAACTTGTGTGAGATACTGTATATGAAAAAGATCTCTGATCAAAATTAGAGATCACTTACAGATACCTCCAAGTTACTGGTGTTAATCTGGCACCTGGAAAGAACAAAAAGAGAGAAAAAAAATCTTTTTCATTATTATTTTTAATAAATACATTTTTTTACATAAATTAATTTTTTATCATTTACATTTTTTTTTTTTTCTGATGTCTTTTTTATTTATCCGTCCATGAGTTTCTTGGTCCATGTCAAACCAATGTCCTTGGCATTCCTAGTGCCATGCTGTGTTACTTCCGAAACTTCTCTCCAATTTCAGTCAAACATCTCACAAAAACACAAGAAGCTCAATATAAGTTGTAGTCCTCACCTTCACTTGTGTGTCTGTCCGTAAACAGGTGTTTGGAGTTTGTGCTCAGGCCTTCGATGTCGTGAACGGAGGAGGCGCGTCTCCTGCTGCACACGCTGTCTCTAGAGTTGGCCTGGGCCAGGCAGGTGGTGGACTGCGCTTGAGACGGACTGGGCAGGTCCCAGGGCTGCTTGGGCGATGAGTGGTCGAGGGGTATGGACGTGCTAACCGGGGAGGAGCGAGGGCTGGAGCTGATGAGCGCCTGCGTGTCGTTGGCATCCGCTGGACTCGAACCGTCCTTGGTGGGCGATTGGACGTCCATCACGGCCACAGAGTCGTCACTGGCCCTGGGCGAGTCCACCATCACTGAGTCTGGCTCGTCCTGCGGAAGAGACTGCTTGCTGGTTCCCAACAGCTTCAAGGCTGGCAGACGGAAGTGGAAGAATCTTCCTTTTCCTAGAGGTATTTGAAAAAATAAATTATTATTATTTATTGGTTGTCATTTTTTTTAATTGGAGAAAAGTTGAAATAGAAACTCAATTTAATTTATTACGGCTTTTATTATAACTGATATGCTGTTAAGCACACCCCTTTTATTTAAAGATACATATTATAAATATTGTAAAAACATTTAAGTATTTCTCTCCAAGTTACTGGTGTTAATCTGGCACCTGGTGCTAATTTCTTTAATTATATGACAAACAAACACTATTTAACATGCAGCTTTCCTCCAATTTTCTCTGAGATTGCAAGACAGCGGGCCGCTCTGAGGTGACTGAAACCCTGCGACAGGAGGCGGTCCAGATGAAGGCCAAAGGGATGACACTTTCAGCCACTGCAAGAGAAGCTGGTCATTCTAAATCTGGGATTTCTCGAATATATTGCAGGTTTACAATGACACTAATTCATTCAAGTCCCCTAAAAAGGCTGGTCGTCCACGTAAAATGAATGCACGAGAGGACAGGTTAATGCAGAGACTCTCAATGGGGAATCGGTTCAACACTGCAGCTGGAATTGCTCGCCAGTTCAGTGCTGAAGCAGGGTATGGATCTGTCTCGGCGCGTTTAAGAGAAGTCAGACTGAAAGCGCACTCTGCAGTGACCAAACCTCTCATCAGCAGAAAGAATCAAAAGGCTAAGCTCACATTTGCTGAGGAGTATGTTGTGTGGAGAGAGAAGAACTGGTCTAAAGTTCACTTTAGTGATGACAGCAAGTTTCATTTATTTGGGTCTGATGGGAAACAATATGTTCGGCATCAAACTGGGGAAAGACTGAAGCCTGAGTGCGTAAAGTATCCAGTGAAAGGTGGAGGAGGAAGTATCTATAGATTGTTCTCCAATTTTGATCTCCACTGTATATATGACAAACTGAGGAATACTTGAAGGCTGTTTTTATTTTATTTTAGAAACTAATAACAGATAAGCTGTTATTAATAAATTAAATTAAAAGAGCCTTCAAGTATTTCTCAATTTCTCTATTATATTTGATTTGATTTGATTTTTTAAGGCTGTTATTATAACACATATGCTGTTAAACATCCTTATTTTAAAGATAAATATTCAAATAAATATTATTAACAAATTAAAGTAAAACAGCCTTTTATTTTATTTTATTTCTTAAATCTAAATGATCTTTTTATACAATATATTATCATTAATATTATTATTTGGGGCAGAATCAAAATAGACACTCTTAAAGAAAAATATTTATTTATTTGTTATTTCTATGATGAATTTAATTACATTTTTATCAGTAAGATTTTCGAATGAAGAACGACTGTTTTATAGTGTTTCAGAAGTGGCCATTGAATACGCTGAAATGAGTTGGCAGCACCGCTGGCAGCATTATTATGAGAACAGGCGTATTCAGCAGACGTGCAGCTTGAGCGGTCAACATTCATTTTCCCACAATGCATCTCCCCCAGGAGAACAACAGTCTGACATATGGCTCATTTGTTCAGCCATGCCTTTAATTATCCCACCGGCCTTTGGTCTGAATTCATCCCTCACACGGTCACAGATCACCACTGCTTTAATTAGCAGCCTCTCAACGTTTTTTTCTTTCTTTTAAAACAGGATGTGATCAAACAAATCCAGCGCTTCCCAGAGGAATTCAGTGTTTCCTCTCCAGCGCATCAGCGCATCGAAGAGTAAATTGCAGTACACACTTTCTAATAAATAAGGTCTACTTGAAGAGAAAGCTCATTCGACCGCACCAGACTAGAACTTGCATTCACTTTCATTCATGCACACGCACCCGCACACATTTTTGACACAATAATAAATGAAAATCATCAGTGTTACGACCCTTTTAAGATTGTCTAGGGGAAAAAAGGAGTAACATTGAGACTGCGGCAAATTTGCAAAATGATGGAGGAGGCAAGAGACCATGCAAGGACAACGAACTGCCAAAGATTTAATGTACAAAAAAGAAAACAAACCATATAATTATAAAGTATGTGTACAAAATTATAAATAAATAAAGAACCAACCAATATGTACAAATATTTACAACCCAGAAAAAGAAAAACAGTAAAGAATAAACTACAGTAAAGAATCAATAAAGAATGTATTATGAATACTGCAATAATAACAAATCAGTGATTTTTTTCTATCAGTGATACATTTATCATTTATTAATATTTTGCAATGGCTTTATTCTTATAATTTCAGTTTTCATTTTATGGCCATTGTAGTTCAAGTTTGAGTAATTCTGTTATGTGCTTTTGTCATTTTTTTTATTATTATTAGATTTGTATATCTCTATATATCTTTAATTAAGTTGTAATTGGTGTCATGCATTACAGTACGCAGGTGTACAGCGTTTCTGACTCCAGCTCGCTGAATTATAGCTTCTCCCTCGCCGTCAGCTTTCCTCATTCAGCTCAGTGGGGTTTAAAGAGGAGCACCTGTGAAACAGAGGCAGGTGTTTAACCCACTGGCTGATGCTGATGAGGAGGAGGATCTCAGTGTTGTGTTCAGGACTGTAAGCACTCCTCAGGAGGGCTGCTTTGGATGCTCAATCACAATGGCGGGTTGAAAGTGAGCTAGTGTTTGGGAATATGAGGATTCCTCACTCAGCGAGCCCTTCACGTCCTGTCACTGCGTCCCGCTGACCTTCTGCCGTCACAAACACACATGATACAGGCGCGCCGCTGACCGATGCCCCCTACAGCGCTCCCACATCCCACGTGTGTGTGTATGTGTTTCACAGTTAAACAACAGCTTGTTTAAAAGTTACAATGAATGAAGAAACAATAGGCAAATATTAATCTTTTACTCAATTTTTTAAAAAGTAATTTTAGTAGTTTTTATCTCAGATAGTTGCCAAAATGAAACATATTTTATATATTTTATTCAGCTTTATTTCAATAACAAAAGACAATTTTAATTGTTCAGTTTTAGGAAACAATTTATTATTATTATTATTAATGCTAATGTCTGTTTAGATGCTACAGTGGAAGAAGAAACGGAATCATTTTATATAATATAATAATATATTCTCCTTAAATATATTTACTATATCTGTCATTATTATTTGAATTGTAGTGCTTACTAAGGCAAACATAATAATATAATTAGTGCTGTCAAATGATTAATCGCGATTGATTGCATCCAAAATAAAAGTTTTTGTTTACATATATGTATGTGTACTGTGTATATTTATTATGTCTATATAAATACACACACATAGAGTATATATATTTTTTTATATTTACATAAATATATTCTTATATTTTATACTATACATAAATATATTTAATATATAAACAACATCTTTTTCTTAAATATATACAGGCATGTGTTTGTATGTATATATACATAATAAATATACATAGTACACACACATATATTACGTAAACAAAGACCTTTATTTTGGATGCGATTAATCGCATTGAAAAGCACTAAATATAATACATTATATATATTTCACTATATTTATTGACTTACAATTTCAGTTTTAGCAAGTCTTAGTAATATTTGCAATTTTATATATTTAAAAAATATATATATTTCTGTATAACTTTATTTATTATTATTGTTTTTTTTATAGTAATTTTAATACTTCAAACTAAACTTTTTATTTCAGTTAGCTGCCGATGGGACATTTTTTTTCCTATTTTATTTCAGCTTTATTTCAATTACTGAAGTTTTAGATAATAACAACATTGTAACAAATTATTACTATTAATATTATTGTATATACTGTATCTGTCATCATTATCTGGATTCGTATTACTGGTAGTGCTTACTAAGGCAAATATCACTATTACTCCTAATGATTACATTTCACTCCTTTTTTTTTTTTACAATTTGTTACTATTTTTATGTGCTTTTGTCATTTTTATGCTTTTTAAAAATATTTTTATATATAGTCTATATTTCAGCTTTATTTCAATTAATTCAAATTTCAATTAACAATAACTACGCTGTTACAAAGTATAATTATTATTTATACCTTTCTCTGTTTAGAGGTTAAAATTGAAGAAAAAAAATTAATATAGTATAATATTATAGAATATCAGCATATAATATAATAAACTACATTGTACTGTATCTGTCATTATTATCTGGATGCTTAGTAATGTTTTCATTAAGCACTACTAATAATATTACTTCTAGTGATCATATTTACTGCAAAATCAAGAGAGATTCATGAACGCTTGTCACAGAATGCATTTATCTGTCATTAGATAAGAATCCACTCTCATCAACATGGATAACAAGGAGATACGAGTTGTTTATTGCTTCAGATGATGTGTAGAAATAGGTCAGTATTATTTTAATATTTTTTATTAATATTTTGAATAAGCATTTATCTTTATATTTTCAGTTTCCAGTTTATTTTTGTTTTTGCTTATTTCGAGTAATTTATAGTAGTGCTTAAACTTATTTCAGTTAGTTGCTAAGGAAACATTTCTCATTTTTGTATAGTTGTTTAATTGTTCATCTAATATTTATGTTTTATTACAGCTTTATTTTAATTAACACACATGTTCTAATAGGTTTTATTTTTAATTATCAGTAATAACCTGTTGACTGCATTACAGTAATGGATTCACAACTGAGAACAAGACAAACAAACTCAAATGTTTAGTTATGATAATTTTGGGGCAAGATGTGCATAATTGGTATGCAAATAATGTCACGTGCAAACAATCTTATTGGTCCTAAATAGGTTTAATGTTCTTTATGCAAAATGTAACTTCTCACTTTGTCTAATTTGAAGTTGCGGTGAAAAATGGCACACAAGAGTGGATTCCTATCTAAGAGCCTTAATACACTTGCATTGCACTCGGATGACTTTCTGAAAACTCCTGACAAAGATGAAGATGATCTGGTAGTGAATGAGTGTGTGACCTCTATGTGCGGTGATTCTGCAGTGTGTTTGCACACATTACTGCTGGCTAGCACTTCAGACTCTCTCAGAAAGAACAAGAGGACACACGTATCACT